GAGTTTTAATGATGACCAATCGAGGACGCATAAAAGCGGCAACGCAGTCATTTAGAAGTCACAGCAACAATCTTCAACAATTCTTTTAAAGCAGTCAAAGGGTTCTGTTATCAACTGGAGCTCCAATATCTCCTCCATTAACAGCAAGACAATTTTGAAAAGTTTCAAACAAATCTGGCGTAAAAACTGACGTAGAAAAATGGCATCTTCTATATTCAGTCAGGCCTCATCACCTCTCTAAACAGATCAGCCATTATCATCAAGATGAAGAAAACGGTGACACCTTCGCAAATTTCTTTCAGAAATATACGCCCACTGTTTTAAACATGGATGGAAAATACCCCTTAGAGTAAGAATTCAAATCTTATTGCGAAAACTGAGTATAACCTATTGTTATAGATGCGATAATTCAATCTTACCCCAAAAACTACTGGTCTTAATTTTGTTTGGAGAACAGACGTTACTCTTCAGTTCCAGATGCCATTGTCTGATCACTTCCTGAGGACCAGAGTCACCTAAACAGTAAATTTGATAGAGCTGATTTTCAGAATATATTCGATTACGAACTGAAATTTTTTCTCAATATCTGATCTCTAATCCTTCGAAGAGAACCGTATATCGCCCTCTCAAATGCCGTTACTGATCGATTTCAGATCGAGTGTCTATGGAAGGGCACAAACTTAATTCAAAAAGACACACAGCCGCATGAAAAGTGCAGGAATAATTCCATCTGTCATTCTTTACTTTTCCTAAACTTCATATTCATGCATCTCCTAAACATACATATATGCTTGTTACTTTTTGGCAATGAATGCAATCACTTTCAAGTTTGGTGTTAAACGGTATCTTAAGGAACCTTTTTTTGCCATACAAAATAGAAAGAGGAAGGAGGAAGCAAAGGAAATTCTAAAAAAAAATTCTTCAAAACTCGAGAAGAGAAGCTTTTCTGTCAGCACAAGTAGTCTTATAACAATGGTCTTAAATTAAATCATAGAGGAAAGAGTGTGTTAACTGGCTGCAGTTAAGGTCAATGAAGTGGAAAAAAACGCAAATACCTGAATCTGAACATCAATTGTCCTGGAATAAACATACAGCTAGACACGGCCTCAGATGTCTCCTTGATCACACCTCAATTCAAAACGCATTGGAATTAGCTGGTGAAACCAACCGCAAAATCCGTTTTAATAAGCCGCCAAATTTCTATTAATGGCAAAGGCTAGTGACTATCTCTCTCTCTACTCATTGCAAACCGATAAAGAAAAGTCGATCTCAAAACCGCAATCTGTAACATATCTACTGCTTCTTTTCCTTTCTGCTATAAAATATCAGTTTAGATTTTCTCTTGTTGAATCCTTGAATAGAAAATATGTGTACTGTGTATATTGGCCTATACGAATTAATACGTCAATTTGAACTCAATAAGGTATTTTAAGGAGCCATTGCAGGAAACAGCTAATTACATGGAGGGAGTGGTGTGGAGTGGGGGAATGAAGTGGATTAAATTTGTAAAGCTCTAATTCAATTTTTGGAATCGTTAACCTGCCCATCTTTTATCTTATTAGACTGCATTGTGTCCAAATGTTCCGAATTTCATGATTGAATTCTCCAGTCTTGTATTGGTTCAGGGCTAAATTGAGCGATTATTTTTAACGTCTCGCAGTATTTATCTCTCCCAAAAGTTTCTAGCTGTTATGTTAACTACAGTAGATCTGTTATTTGTTTGTTTCTATTCACATGTGTGATCTGCAACCTTTTGTAACTATATAAGAGAATATGTTTGTTGCGCTGAAGGTAGGTGATTCACTCTGAACTAAAGTAACCACAGCTTTTTTCCAGCAATATTTGACCGGTCCACTAAGCAACTGTTGCAGTGGACACTGTTTTTACCGCCATGGTCAGTGAATCAGTTGTGTTATTTATGCACAAAAGTGCAAGAAGTCCGCTGGCTATTGATTAATTTTATTGTATGAGGTGTACTCTAAAATCAATAATTTGATGACAGCATACTTTGTGCATGGAATGGAATGTATGTGCATTTATATGAGGTGCGAATGCAGGCGCATTTTCTCTAAGAGCTGATCGATTTTCTCGCCTTTTTCACTGGTTATTGATTCGCGTATGTCATGTGAGATAGGAATAATGTGTTTCAGTTTACGTGGGCTTACTTGTAGTCTGTCGACATGATTCAGATAGTGTTATGCTTGTGGGTTTACATCTTTGCCCACAGTGACCTATTTCGTCTCTACAGTTCGAGTTGGCCTGATTTTAATGTTCGTCGTTCAAGTTTATAGATTTTGACTCCCTCATTTACTTAATTATTTATTTTGAGAATCATTTATGATTTGTTCTTTTCTGACTATTTATCTGTCATTCTCTTATCAGAAATTATTAAGCTTTAATTTCTGGTTTCAAAAGTAAGCCTATTGGACTGAACAGTTTATATACAACATGCACTGGATAAATTTCTTCTCATTGTATGATACTCTACCTCCTTTTCTCTGCAAATTTCTTATTGAGAGAGCTATTTTATCGCTTTAATCTAATCGTGGGACTTTCAGGAATATCCCGGCGTCTATAAGCGAATGAAATGAAGCCTAGAAATCGGTTAATTACCCCCATGGTCGTGATATATTATGTTTCTGTCGCCTTGTCAATTTGTGGACCTCTATTTTCTCCTTGCAGATTTTTATTTCTTCTGCAACTGCTTTGCATTAATTCCCACCTTCTAGCTTATTAGCAGGTGTGAATTTTTTGATTAGTTCTCTCTTCTTAATTTTTTTTCTTGACGTACTATTTTCCCACTAAACGAAAGCTCCATCATTTGTGCCAATCTGTATTTAGTAGATGGTGTCCTTGTGAGTGTTGGCCGGGGGGGGGGGGGGGGGGGGGGGNGGTGGGAGGGGGCCGTATACGGGGACTTATGTTGAATCAATTTTGATCTAAAATTATTATTGACCTGATTTTACTAGCTTTGGTTTAAAAGGCACTGAATTGCAGCTGCAGGGTTTTCACCTGGAAAGAGTTGGAATAACTAGGTTAGAGGAGTGTAAATTGTCATGTAGATATTCACGTGTAGCGCAGTCTTTTTGCTGGTAAGATTGATCGAATCTGCTATTCCCATTTTTTCGTCCGCTATCCCACAATGGCTCTCTCCCATCTTCCATTTTCATTTCACACATTCCGCATCTTCTTTTTTGCCCACTTTGTGCGCATTTTTACCTGGAATTGGATTACACAATTGCCTTTCTATCTTTGCGCTCCGTTTTAACAATGATTGGCAGTTGTGAGGAAAGTGAAAACGAATTAGACTATACTTATCTTTCCCCTAACTTCCCGAATTCAGTCACCACAAGGTAGGCATAAGAGGCAGTTGTGTTAGGGAAAGAAGAGCGATGACCATCAACCCCACACCCAGTATGATGTAAATGTGAGACTGATTGTGAGGAAGTCCCAAGTCCAATATTTAGCTAATGTAAGATTGATCAGTTGTCTAGCCTCCCAGGGATATGCCTTATTCTCACAACTCTATGGAGCTACTTAGGAGTCATAGTGTTCCAAGCTTTACAGAAAACTCTACTACTCCTTAATCTACGCTAATTGGAAGGCTGAATAACAATAGCCTGTATTAATTTAAACATACCGTGCTTCTATTAACTCCTATGACGAGTTTATTTTGCCTCCATCATCACGTGTTGTCTCCAGTATCCCCCCCCCCACCCCACTTCAGTACTGTTGTCCTCCTTTGACATGCAAGTGGGGACTGTTTTTTCCCTTTCTCGTACTTTTCTCCCTATATTACCATTTATTTTAGTTAATGCAGAACTGTTTTGACCACACTCGTTTCATTGAGTTGGGTAAAAAGTGTTGAGGAAATTGGAAATGAGGATTTCCATTTTTATTTTTTTAAAAACAACGACATGAAAACAATTTCGATTTGTCTGTTTGAATTCGAGCCTGTCAGAAGGTATTCATGCATTACTCTTGTGGCCACCGAAATAATTGACCACCTCAAGGCAAAACATAAAAAAAACAGATTAGTTGAGAGTAAATGGCTTTTGCAGTTGTTTCTACTTTCACAAAGCATCGTGAGGGCTTCTACCTTTTAGAATTAATTTGCATACATCGATATTGACCAATGTGTCGTGCTCACAACGTTTGCTTTTGTGCGGGTTTTTTTTCTGAAATTGAAGCTTTTGCGACGAAGTCCCCTGTAAAGTTCACCTTTTTTCCCTGTACCACCCACTACGCCCACGAAATTTCAAATTTCAATTTAATTAGCGATTAATATATTAATGAGTTGTATGTAGGGTAGAAATCGTAGAATTCGTTGGGGGGCAGGAGGCCTCTATACCTTTTCAGTTGTAGACTCGCTTATATCATACTGTGTAAGTGCAATACTCTACGGGTAGATACCCCATCCCAGTGGATGGCAAAGACGATCTCCTTTAGTTAAATCAGAAATTTTTGCAGTTCAATATTTGTGGAATTTATACTGAATATAAAACCACTATAGCATTCAATATTACCTTCGTTGGGGAAATGTTTACTTATCATATCAAATGGCAGCCTTTATGATAGTCATCATTAGTCCTTTAGTTGACTTCGGACCTTCACTGAAGGGGGGCAACATCGAAGTCACAATATGTCGAGAGGAGGGAACAGAAGATTGATTCACAGATGTAAGTGAGACAGACATACACAAAAGACCAGAGAAAAGGTAAGATGAGTACTGTGTGGAAGTCGTCCAATATGACATACAGCCGGGTCATAGCAGTTGGAAGTCAGAAGTCATCTGCCCGTTTATAGACATTTTTGCGGTATGAGTATACGTTGCGTAGGGAGCACCACGCGGAGGTAAGTCTATCACGCACCCATCGATGAGGAAATATAATTTCACATAGTTATATTTTCGTCTTGGCAACCATTTTGTATTGTAGCTTGCGTTTTTTATTGTATTGTCTTTGTTCCGGTTGCTATTCACGCATTAAATTTACCCCCACTTGCAGGCTGCCGAATCGAGCTTCGCGGAGATTTGTGCTCTAGTGCAACGAAGGCAGGCTGAGGTAATTCAGCATATTCATCGCAAAAATGAGGAAAAACGCCGTGCTCTTGAGGATCAGCTCGCTCTAATTGAATCCGAACGCAGTCTTGTCCGCGAACAGTGCGATCAACTTAACAGTTTGGTAAGTGCTGACGCTAGGTCCTTTTTTGTCGCGTCGTGTTAAAGCCTAAAATTAATTCCTTTCTACTGAGAGATAATTTTTTGTGAGTGCATATTTCGGTTAGTTAATGTGTGGTCCACTCACTCGGAGACCATGAGTTTCGTGCCCGTCAGTACGCTTCTGATGTCAAACCACACTTGTTTAACCTGACTATTGTGGTTGTCTGGTTTCTTTGTATGTGTGTGTGTGTGGGCGTTAAATAGATTGGAGTTTGAGGAAAAATGCGTATTAATGACTTTGTCTGCTAGCCTAATTAGAGGGTAAAGAATGAGAAGCTGAAGAAGCTTTCGGTTTGGTGACGAAATTAGTAGATTATTATTATTTATTTTAAATGGCAGGCGTTTCGATAGTTAGCTGACCTCGCCTTCACAGAGAGGGGGGACATCAAAGTAAGTAAAAGTCGAGAGGGGGAACAGAGGAGTGACTCACAGATGTAAAAGAGCCAGACGGATAGACACAAATGCAGAGAAAAGGTAAGGTGAGTACTGTTGAACTGGTGGAATCTGACATACACTCGAGTCATATGAGTTAAGTCAACTACCGATGTAAAGACTTTTTGCCGGTATAAGTATAAGTTGGCCAGGGTGCATCACATGGAGGTAAGTCTATCACACACCCCAGATTTTATTAAGTTTTATTGATTTTCAAAGTACTATAATCCGTTTTTACAGGAAAGCGGTTGCCTATAATTACCAACCTCTCATGTTTGCGGCAAGAAGTATTCGCTTCACAATATTTCAAGCTAAAACAGGTTTATTTTGTAAGCGAGATTGTGTACTCTGCGCCAATACTGCATTGTATGCAAACATGCGAAAAAAATCGATTTTTTCAATCTCCGTAACATCCCTTTTTACATGAGACTACTCTCATAGAATAATGGTTCTAGCTTAGAAGCTATCGACGAGGGTTTCGAGAGAGTAAGATAAACCCCTGCCCGCCCCCCCCTCATCCCCAACAAGGCGAATTTAGTGTTAAATCATGTTCTCCGTGTTTTTCTCCTTTACTCTCCTTTTTTGGATTACGAAGTAATCGTACGCCTTAGCGTTGAAAATGAGAAAATAATGATTCAATTCGATTCCTCCTCGAAGAGCCTGGTATGCTCTTGTTGTCACGCGTTTGTCGCCTATCAACTCGGAGTAGTGGGGTTATATCCGAGTGCAATCAGTCTATCTGTCAAATAACTCGACTTAGCTAGTGTACACGACGACTTATCATTTTGTTTTAATTAAGCAATTTGACATGATCTCAATTGTCGTCATGACTTTGGTGGCATATACATATACGATTTAAAATGGCGCGCAGATGTTTGTCTACCTTTCTTTCGATTATTGGAAAGAATGGCGTTCTTCCTTTTAATAGTTTATTTGAGGTGTAATATGGCTTACCTCGTTGAGTTGATAGTGTGCAAGTTGAGTTTACCAAAAGGGAGCGATTTGAATTATACTTCCACACACTGGATGTTGATTACTTAATAGTAATGCCTTCCCTGGCTATGAAAGAATAGTAAGCAGGATATTTGGAATAATTGTGCACATAAGTTAGCTTCAGAAAGTTCAAATTAACTATAATTTGTTCCCAAAATTGGATAGTGTCGTAACTGGAATGGTTCCCTGAGATTTAGGGTTCGGTTTTGTGCATAAGTGGAATTATCCTTGAATATTTTTGTATTTTTTTTCACAACTATTGGAACTAATATTTCTTGTAAAGGGAGGGGGGCGTTAAAGATCAATAATTTTGTTGAGCGTGTAGATTTCGTTTCAATGAGATGAATGCCCCATCTGTTTGAGCCGTTTTGACTTGAATCGAAAGTACGCACCGAAGTGACCATCATTTTTCCTCAATGTACTCTATCAGTCAACCCATCAGGTCATTTATTTGTTGTTTTCTTTTCAAAGCTCACCGCGAATCTATTCACGATAAGCGATTCCGTATTGGGGGGTGGGGGGGGGGGGGGGGGGGGGAGGTATTATACTCTCTCGATTTTGGTCAGGCTGGTTTTTAGTTGAATTTGCTTGGCCGTCTCTCCCTACCCCTGGTGGTTGCCCTCCTCTCCCCTTCTCTAAAGTGCGCACGCATATTGGTTATTACTTTGCATGGTTGTCTCATTTACCTCATAGTCTATTTGGTCTGTCCCCGGTTAAGGGTCTTTGTCCTATTTGAACTCCATTTTCACTCGTGTTTCAACTAGGTTTGCTTTTCCACGTACAAAATTTGGCTTTCAAGGTTCCGGTTAGCTATCCCATTGGTACACTAATATTATATTCCAATTGAGTGGTGTGCGATAGACTTACCTCCACGTTGTGCATCCTGGGCAACGTATATTCGTATGACAAAAAATCTATAAACCGACAGTTGACTTCTGACTTCAAGCTACCATGACCCCACTGTATGTCATATTCGACCACTTTCACAGTACTCGCTATAAACTGGCAGTTGACTTCTGACTTCAAACTGCCATGATCCCACTGTATGTCATATTCGACTACTTCCACAGTACTCACATTATTAACTGGCAGTTAACTTCTCACTTCAAACTACCATCACCCTAAGCGGCAGTTGACTTCTCACTTCAAACTACCATCACCCGCACTGGCAGTTGACTTCTCACTTCAAACTACCATCACCCCTCACTGGCAGTTGACTTCTGACTTCAAGCTACCATGACCCCACTGTATGTCATATTCGACCACTTTCACAGTACTCACCTCACCCTTTTCTCTACCTTTGTGTCTGTCCCTTTTACGTCTGTGAATCACTCTTCTGTTCCCCCTCTCGACTTTTTCTCATTTTAATGTTCTTCTCCTCTCTCAAGCCCGAAGTTAGCTAAAGGACTAATGATAACTATCAAAACGTCTACCATTTGAAATAAAGAAATATTCCAGTTGAACTTCTGGCAGAATTGATACCATTATTTAGAAACAATATTAACTATTTAGATTTTCATTCTTTTAATTAATGAATTATAAAGTGAAACAATGTTCTTTTTTAAGTGGGTGTAAATTGGTGAAATTGTAAGCTTTAAAAAGCTAGTTTTAAATAAGTTTCCCTTTGATCGGATTATGGTAGAATCGGGTCGCCTTTGTTCATACCCAATTTTCACTCTGGCATAGGAGTGCAGATAAGACTTGCCTCACTATGTCTGCACTCTTTATTTAATCAAACAAGTCTTTGTTAAATCACCCTCTCTCATTTTCCAAATAAATCGGTATAGTTGCTTTGTCACCTCTAAGTGCGTCTGTACTGACTTTCAGGTCGAGATTATCGTACGTTTTTGGTTCTTCCTCGGCCCTTGTAATTACTTACACAGTTGGCTCTATCATCTCTCCATATTTTGATATGTGTTAAGTGAGGTTTGGTTTTTCGCACAAGTTTTCTTCCTTATTCAGAGAACTCGAGTCGTTTGCAGATTACCTTCATAACAGTTGAGAAATTAACCTACTTCATTCGAACAATTCCTGTCTACTTGCGATTTGAAGCTTGGCAATTGAAGTGAATAGACGGTCATTTTAAACTTTTTCATGACAAGGAACAGTGGCTATTTATTTTCTGAACTCCTTCCAAACCAGGGCTGTTTGTTTTCCCAAATAGTTTTGATGGCACATTAATTTCCACATTGGCAGCCTTTATCTCCTTGGCGTAAAAGACACGCGTGTCTTTTTGCTTCACCTTTCCTTTACGACCAGTACATTTTGTCTAATTTTTTTTGAGCTCTCCCAATTATCGCGCCTCTTTTATGTGGCGTTTGACATTTCACGATAGCTATACCAGATATACTCTCTTATTGATTTCGCGTTCATCGATTATTTGCGTGGGTATTGACTATACCCTCGTGCACACAGTGTTGAAGCCGTTAAAAGTTAATTGAAACAGGAAAGAGGCAATTATAGGTAGGCCCCTGGACGTTGTGGTGGGTGCGTTCACACTCTCCTGCGGATTTGCAGTAATTTATTCCAATCACGTTTATCAAACTGATTTACATAAGCCCCCAGAAGGAGTTACTGCTATTCTTTTATTAGCTTCTTCTTCTTTTTTTCTGCCACCATTCTACCATTCATTTATTTATTTATATCAAATGGCAGGCGTCTTGATGGTTATCATTAGCCCTTTAGTTGACTTCAGGCTTCACAAAGAGGAAGGAACATCAAATTGAAAAAAAAAATCGAGAGGGGGGGGGGAACAGAAGAGTGTTTCAAAGATGTAAGAGACAAACACGAAGGTAGAACAAAGGTGAGGTGAGTACTGTGGAAATAGTCGAATATGGCATAGAGTGAGGTGATGGTAGTTTGAAGTGAGAAGTCAACTGCCAGTCAATAGACTTTTTTGCCGTATGAATATACGTTGCCCAGGGTGCACCACGTGGAGGTAAGTCAATCGCGCACCCCTCTACCATTCATAATAATGAAGTAAAATCCGTTGACTGGTCGTCTAGTTGTCTCAAGCTAACCTTTCCACGGCCTAGAGCATCAGATATTGATTATATTGTTAAAAAAACTCGCTTCCTTTAATGAGTCAGTTTATCGTATCGCTAATGATTTGCGTCAATGTCAAGACCAGTAGTTAAATTAATAGGTTTTCTTATTCCGTGTTTTTTTCTTCAGTTAAGGCAAATAAAATTTCTGCTGTTTTCAGAATTGGTCCATGGCTTGATTTGTCTATTTATTTTCTCCTGATTTGCAGATCGACGTCCGATCAATCTCCAAGGCCATTAGTTATCTCAACGACAAGTTAGACACAATCGCGAGTTTGACCGAACCCCGAGAGAATGCCTTTCTGCGTTATGAGGATGATCCCCATGTCGCTTCTGATGCACCCGCAAGATCTGACCCCTCCACAGCAACATCCAACAACCCACAACCTGGGTCAGCCGGATTTGTGGATATAGCGCGGTGCCTGGCTGCTTTTGGCCGGATCACTGTTAGCACCACTT